CTCTCTCTCTCTCTCTCTCTCTCTCTCTCTCTCTCTCTCTCTCTCTCTCGTCTCTCTTGCATGCACAAAAAGGTGCTTGATCTCCATCTTGCACCATGGAGGCTGGACATGTGTCCAGCATCCAACGCCATATAGTTAGAATAGGTAATCTATAAGAGCCAGATTGGTGTAGTGGTTAAGTGCGTGGACTCTAATCTGGGAGGACCGGGTTTGATTCCCCACTCCTCCACTTGCACCTGGCTGGATGACCCTGGGCAAGCCGTAGTTCTGATCAGAGCTGTTCTTGAACAAAGAGCAGTTTCTGTCAAGAGCTCTCTCAGCCCCTCCTACCTCACAGGGTGTCTGTTGTGGGGAGGGGAAGGGAAAGGAGTTTGTAAGACGCTCTGAGACACCTTTGGGTAGTGAAGGGCGGGGTATAAACCCAATTTCTTCTCTTCTTCTTCTTCTTCTATACCTATCTCTTACCTGCACTCTCAAGCATGTATTTCCTTTAATAAAAGATACTTATTAGTTTTAGAACTGACTGCTGACTCCGTGTGACTTTGTTAAGTCTGTTGCCACACCTAGCCCCAACCTCTGCTGCTTTAAAGCCTTTGGGCACTCTGCTATTTTTCCGTGGTTCCCTGGAAGTACCAAGTCCAGAGAATCCAACATATAATACGCCTGTTGAGCAAAGGGGAGCAGGCAAGCAAACGCTGGCAGTATTCTCCCATAAAGCAGAATCCGAGACACACACCCCTTATATTCCCCCCCAAAGCTCCTCCTAATTATCAGCTGGAAAGCGTAACTCTTTCATCTTCTTCACTAGCTACATTGCAACTTTCTCTGTTAGGTCTCAGCCTGAGCAAGTGGGATCTGTTGTACTCAGTGTAGTGACAGACAATTATCAATGCTTTAAAAAAAATCTTCTAAACCCTGAACAGCTTAAATTGATAGCACACCTTCTATAGCCCTAGCCTATGCTAGTTTACACAGAGGGAAGTCTTGCTAAACTCAATGGGACTTACTCCAACGTAAATGTACATATGTTTGCACGTTGCTGTCCAAGTGCTGGAATGATTTCTCACTTACGTGTAGATTGCCACAAAGAACCTCTTGATCTGTGGACTGGGTCCCCCGGCGACTTTTAGAAAAATGTCCTGTGGTTCGCCTGGTCCCTGAGCCGGAACATTAAGACAAGATTGCAACATCAGGCTAGTTTTTTAGCCAGGATTTCACAGCAACCTAGTAGCTGAAACACATTCTCTTCTTCAATTAGAACTGGAGGTGCAGTTCACTCCTGTACCTGGAAAAGGTTACTCTTAGAAAATGTGAGAATAAGGACTGCCCAATCATAGTGGAGTCCACCCACTGTACAACCAGGGCTACCAGCTTCCAGGCAGCAGGCAATCCCCTGCTGCTGCACCCAGCTGTCTGCTATCGACCAATGAAGTAGCAGGGAGAAAAAGGGAGAGAAAAAGTGTCATTGATGCTGTGACATCATTTCCAAACAAAGCCCCCAAAGTGACACCACGCACATACCCTGTAATGCTCTAGGAATTCCACCAATGGGATTCCTAGAGCAGCATGGGTGTGTGTGACATCACTTCCAGGCTTTTTCCGTAGAAACAACATCACATTGTCAGGGGCACCATTTTCCAGGGCTCTACCCCTGGAAAGCTCCTGGGAGTTGCCAGCAACGGCCAACCCTAGCTACTACCTCAGTCACTGTTCTTGGCATGCTTCTAGACTGCATGTTGCTGAAGATTCTGCGTGCCCTTTGAGGTGGGCTCTTGTATTTGTACACAGCCTTAATGGACCAGGCACTGTTGCGACATATCCAACATTTCACTATTGCATTGTGGAAGCGTAGCAGTAAATTTCTGGAAGTTCAGCAGCTGTTGTTCTTAATTTCGGTTCTACGAATTCCAGAACCCAGTTTCTAAACCACTAAGCTTAGTAACACACAGCTAAGCTAAACAGGCCACACACCAGCTCTCCGGCCTTTCTATGGCAGCCCCTCATGGCACACGTGACCTCTGCCTTCCACAGAGCAGCCTGCAAGCCCCGAGAATGATCAGTTAGGGCTCTACCCCTGGAAAGCTCCCGGGAGTTGCCAGCAACGGCCAACCCAACTGTTCTTGGCATGCCTCTAGACTGCATGTTGCCGAAGATTCTGCGTGCCCTTTGAGGTGGGCTCTTGTATTTGTACACAGCTTTAATGGACCAGGCACTGTTGCGACATATCCAACATTTCACTATTGCATTGTGGAAGAGCAGCAGTACATTTCTGGAAGTTCAGGAGCTGTTGTTCTTAATTTCGGTTCTACGAATTCCAGAACCCAGTTTCTAAACCACTAAGCTAAGGAACACACAGCTAAGCTAAACAGGCAACACACCAGCTCTCCGGCCTTTCTATGGCAGCCCCTCATGGCACACGTGACCTCTGCCTTCCACAGAGCAGCCTGCAAGCCTGGTGGAATGAGCTCCCAGAGCAGGTTCGGGCCCTGCAATACGGAGCTCTTCCGCCAGGCCTTTGCATAGGAGCCGCCGCCGTCACTGTACCACCACCGAGTTGCCATCTTCGATGGTGGATTAGATCTGGAGGTGAGCCGGCCCTGGGCAGATGCCTAGTTAATCAAAGAATGTATGTTGTCAGGTTAGGTTGATGAATGGAACTCATCTTGGATTAAGAAAATTTTAACATCAAGAGCACCGCACTTTACTTAATGATTGTTTTATACTGTTTAATGATTGTTTTTATGTTGTTTTAACTGTTGTTATGGCAGTTGCCTCTGTTGTAGCCGCCCTGAGCCTGCTGGGGAGGGCAGGGTATAAACCTAATAAATAAATAAATAAATTGATGTATGGCAAGAAAAGGCTGATCCCTGCTGGCACAGATAAGAAATGGAGCACTGGGGTCATCAGCCACAGCCACAGATCTCCTGGGAGCCAACTTGGGCCCCAGATGCTTTAAACTCCAGCTTCCCCAAAACTGGCTCAAGCTACTCAGTTGCCTGGTTTCGGTTACAAAAAGTGACTTTAGGGACTGGAGAAAACACCCACTCAGCTCCAAAGCGGGTGTGGAGACACACACAGACGCGCAGCTCCAGTTACGCCAACAGCAGTGCCTTGTGGTTGAATTGCTTGCATTTAACATGTTGTTTCTCATCGTGAGCTTTCCCAGATGGGGAAGGACCTCATCCAAACCCAACACAAGAGCTACCTGGAAATGTGTGCCAGGGAGGCAAGCGGATGGACTTTTTCAGGAACGTGAGCTCTGGGTGGTAGAAGCGGAAGGTCTGGTCCACCACGTGGGGCTGGAATTCCACGTTCACACTGAGGATGGCAATGGGCTTGCTGCTGCCACATGCTGTGAAGGAGACCTGGCCATCAATCAAAGGGGGGGGGGAGAGATGAAGAGAAGAAGCCACTGAACAGATGTAATAGAAAGCAACACTGATGCACTAACAGCTTGTTGGTCTTGCAGAAATAAGGAAGGGGGGGTCAGGAAACCTCATGAGCGCCAGAGAGTCCTGAAGTGTTGTTGTTTTTTTTAAAAAAACAGCAGGTTTCTAGACCTCATGGTTGGAAAAAACCCACCTGGTATTGCTCATGGGCAGTTTTTTCTAAATGGGAATGGATTTTAGAATCCCAGGGAGAAGGTAGGACTTCTCTCACAGGTTCTCATTTCTTAAGGCAAAAAACAAAGACAACCAGGTGGAACTGAGTTCAAAAGCGAGTAAACGTGTCACTGTGTCACCGGCTGCCACCTGGGCACTGGCCTTCCTGAGGGGAGATCTTGGCAGATCTCAGGGCAATAAATAAACCTTGCGACATCACCATTACAAATGCAGAGAATTTTTATTTTTGGTGGGTTAATGATTCAAGAGCCTCCAGTGAAAAGAATACAGATTAAGGCTCTTTTCACAAGAGGCACTTGAATAATTTGAATCATTAATAAGGATTAAGTGATTCCGTTGTGAACAGAGTTGTTGCATGCTTTGTCAACCAAAGAACAGCATGAAAAGCAGGAGAAGTTCATGCTTCGAGGGCCCAGCTGATAGACCCCTATCTCGATAACCATTCTTCATGCAGGAAGTTTTATCTTCAGAAAGAGCAGAGCTACCAAGAAAGAGCTAGAGTGCTGGCCTTTAGTGTAGTGGCTAAGTGCGCGAACTCTAATCTGGGAGAACCGGGTTTGATTCCCCACTCCTCCACTTGCCACTGCTGGATGACCTTGGGCAAGCCATAGTTCTGTCAGAGCTGTTCTGGAAAAAAGAGCAGCTTCTGTCAGAGCTTTCTCAGCCCCACCTACCTCACAGGGTGTCTGTTGTGGGAAGGGAAAGGAATTTGTAAACCGCTCTCAGACTTCAAGTGAAGGGCGGGGTATAAATCCAATCTCTCTTTTTCTTCTTCTTCTTCTTCAGCTTCAATCCCCACTTGGCAATGAAGCTCACCAAATAAACTTGGGCCAATAAAAAGAGGGCAGGGAACATGAGACCCAGTGTGCTGTTTTGGCTAGGATCTGGGAGATCCAGATTCGAATCCCCACTCTGCCAGGGAAGTTTCTTGGATGACCTTGGGCCTGTCACACACTCTGTAGTCTGTTGGATGACCTTGGGCCTGTCACACTCTCTGCCTCACCTACCTCACAGAGTTCTTATGAGGATAAAGTGGAGGAGAGGAGAACACTGTAAACCACTCTGGGTCCCCATTGGGGAGAAAAGAGGGAATAAATGAATAAATAAATAATCATATGCCATCCTGAGCTGTTTGAAGGAAGGACGTGGCAAGGAGGTGACAGACGCAGCTCTGAAAACAGCTGTGTGCCGCTCACAAACCAGCCGACTTGGCTGTCTCCGCGGCCTTAAACAGCCACCCTTCCCGCGGCTTTCCAATTACCTTGATGTGTTTTGTCTGCATGCCACCGGACTTCCAGGGGGCTGCGGCTTCCTTCTTGCCTTCGCTGAATGTCAGCTCAGTGGGACCTTGCTGGGAATCAAAGAGACGGTATGAAATGAAAGCATCGCAAATTTGCTGCACTGTCCTGCGGCGCTGGAAACAGGGCCGCCGAGGGAAAGCTCTCTCTCACTCCCGCTGGCTGCCTGGCCCCAGAGCATGTGCTCTCCTTGTTCTGGGAAGCGGGCAGAGGCCCCGTGGAAGCTCAGAGTCACGGGGTTAAGCGAACAGTTATAAACATCATGGGATATTAAAGAAGCTATCCGGCATTTGAGGGACAACTGGAATGCGAATGAGCTATTTGCCTATTGCTTTAGATTTCGTCTCTTTTGTTTTTAAAACACTTTTGTTCCCTCTGCGGATTGAAGCTTCAGGCTTATGCATGTCTATATTTATCAAAATATGCCAGCAGGTCTCTTGAAGGACGTATTTTCCCCTCCTGCTTCCTTGCCCTGCACTTCTCTCTAGCTTTCAGCCCCAGGTGGTTGCTTTGAAAATCCAGGAAAGGTTGCTGGGGGGAAGGGTTTTAATGTGAGTTGCCAGCTAGCAGCTGGCAATCAATGGGAATCTTGGAGTGGGTATAGGGGGTCCCACTGGTGCAATAGTGTTAAGCTGCTTCTGGGTTTTACAACAGAGTTTAGGAGGATTCCCAGAGAGGCATGATGTTACTTTGGGGGTTTCCCCAGAAGTGACTTAACGCCATTGTGCCTATGGTGATATTTTGCTTAATATTTTCCCCCACCAGAATGATGGTGGGCGACAGGAGCTGGAGAAGGAAGATCTCCCGCCCCCAGTGGGCAACTGGAACCCTCATTATAACGCTCACTTCCCAGGTCTGTACCATGGCTGAAAACGTTTCTCCAAAGCTACAACTGATTCTGGTGGGAAAATCCATGGGTTTGGGTGCCCAACTCTACGCATTTTTTCCCCATAAGAGCTGATTAAAGAATTGGAGAGGTCTTTTAAATTGTAGGAAAGGCGTGGGAGGAAAGGGTTAAACACCCCCAGGACCATTTCCCTGATCTACAAAGCAGCCGCTTATAGTGACAAATTGCCATTTCAAAACCATGGGAGTCTATTTTGACCCTGAGTCATTCCCCCTCTCCCACCCTCCTCCACAAAAGGCAATCCGAAAGCTGGCTAGATGTAGCCCAAGGTTCACCATCCTCTAATTGTTTGCAGATAACATGTCAAGTTGGCAGTACAATGGGCTCGGTGTCCGAAGGGACCAATCCTGTGTACCACTGAATCCAGGCAATCAAAACTGGTCCAGGTGCACTTTATCCTTGAGCATCCAACTTTGTGATGAGGGTCACCTAAGAAAATCAGGACACCTAAAAGTCTTTTATTGCACCATTGGTCTCACAGGAGCCAGACGCTCCACTCACACCCCTGATAAAAAAGATGGCCTGATTTTCCCATTGAGTCACTCACCTTGTCTCTTTTTGCAGAGGAGGAGGAGGAGGAGGAGGAGGAGATGGGCAAGCAGGAAACTGAGACCTGCCTGGTGTGGTGTCAGACAGTGGCAGGGAAAATGGGACATGAAGGGAGCAGCTGATGTGAAACCCCAACAAATCACCCATCTTCTTTTAAGGAACAGAATTAGAGTGCATCAGAAGCATGCTGTGGGTGGGTGGGCTGATCCGAGGAGTATCGAGCATCTGTTCCTGAGAGACTAGTGATGGTGGTCGCCCAACAGCAGACATGTACATGGTTGCATGGAGGATGCCTGCCCATCCTAAGAACTGATTGAGAAACTATATATGTATCTTTGCAAGAAGATACCTGAAGGTCTTAACAGGAACTAGAGTTTGGGTGGGATGCTACCCCAACACAGTGCTATCGAATGGAGATAGTGTCCTGAATCACAAGTATTTTATCATGTTACATAAACTACCTGTGGGATACTTCTGGGTAGAAAGAGGGAGTAGAAATCAAATAAAACTAACGAACAAGTATAAACTCACTGAAGCCTCTGGCACCTGCTGTCTGATGTTACCTGAAAATCAATGAATGTGACACATTTTTTTTTAAATTCAGAGTTTATTCGCCCTTTTCATACCTGCTTCATGGCTCCGTGCTCCACGGTAAAGGCTTGGTATTTAAAGGGGATGTACACCGTCTCCTTGGGACGCAGGTAGACCTGAGGCGTGAGGTTCTCGTGGAGATGAAACATCTCCTCCTCCAGCGGGGTGACAGTTTTGGTTAGTTCCTTAAAATGCTTCCATTCTCTGGAATCCACTATGACACTGGGGGGGGGGGGGGAAAAAAAAAACAGACAACCAGAGGCGGTTAGTTGCTTTGAAACCAGGTTGTTTCCTGCGTGACCTGGCAGCCTCTCTCAATTTTGCAGTCTTGCAACTTGCTGTCTCGCTCTGGGTGTGTTCCTTCATGAAAGGTGATGCGCCCCCATCCACAGGGACCCATGCTTTCTTGGAACTTGCTCCCACTTTAGGCAACAGGGCTCCCTGAGGAAGTGGGACGCTGTCTCTGGAAAACTTTATGAGGTCCAGTAAGGCTATTTTGTTCTTTTTAATGGAGCTGCGGTGGCTCAAGTGGTTAAGACGCTGAACTGCAGGCTGTGGAAGGTCAGTAGTTCAGCAGTTCAAGACCCGGGTGCCGCATGATGGAGTGAGCTCCCGTCTCTAGTTCCAGCTCCTGCCCACCTAGCAGTTCGAAAGCAAGAAATTGCAAGTAGATCAATAGGTACCACTTCGGTGGGAAGGTAACAGCGTTCCATGCGCCTTGGTGTTTAGTCATGCCGGCCACATGACCATGGAAACGTCTTCGGACAGCGCTGGCTCTTCGGCTTGGAAACGGAGATGAGCACCGCAACCCTAGAGTCGGATTCGACTGGCTTTCGAGCAAGGGAACCTTTACCTTTTTAAGTTGCAGATGCCCTAACCCGGACGGCCCAGGCTAGCCCAGTCTTGTCAGATCTTGGAACCAACGCAGGCCCCGGTTAGTATTTGGATGGAGACCACCAAGGAAGTCCAGGTTTGCTAAAGAGAGGCAGGCAATGGCAAACCACCTCTGCACTCCTCTTGCCTTGAAAACCATATGGGGTTGCCCTAAGGCAGCTGTGACTGGACGGCGCTTCCCACCACCAAGCCGCATGCATTTGAGTAGGCTGGGGGAGGGAACTGAGCCTTATTTATATCAGAGGTTTTAAATTATGGATTGTAAACAGCCTTGGCCCATGGGAAAAGGCAAGATCTAGATGTTGGAATAAATATAGAAAAGCTGGACTGCTCCCTGAAAATGTCACTGGGAGGCAGCACGGGAAGATGCCACAGAGATCTGTCATTCTTCACAAATCCTGGGAGAAAAAAAATCACTTCTCTTGTATGGAGCACCCTATGAAAGGGAGTGAGCACCACGGTTCTTCAAAATCTCTGTGTGAAAAGGGCACTTCCCAGCATTCTAGCATCCTTTTGCACGACCAACACACAGATCCTAAGTTGGAATTATGCAGATGACAAAGGGAGAGGGGCTATCTCAAATGGAACCAGTTTGATACTTAATGGCTGATTTCGCACTAGAGCTGCCTCGATGTTGCGCCGCCATTAGCCCCGATACTATTGGTCAATTTCACACCCGAAGCCGCGGGGCTGCATTTGACCCGCGGCTTCGCCCGATTTCCTCCGCAGTTTTGTGATCCTCAAAAAACAGGATCACGAAACTGCGGGGGAAATGGGGCGAAGCCGCGGGTCAAAATGCAGCCCCGCAGCTTCGGGTGTGAAATTGACCAATAGTATCGGGGCAAACGGCGGCGCAACATCGAGGCAGCTCTAGTGCGAAATCAGCCAATGACTGTCGTGTGGGACAGGATCAGCCTCTCCACTGAGGCAAAGGCACCTTTACTTTCCCCCATACCACCGATTTTCTGGGAGAAGCATAATGCTGCTCTGGACTGACTTCCCCAAAGAGATACAACCCGTTTCTATGAACGTGTTCTACGGACATGAGCATAACCAACACTGCCAGCCTCCCCCCCCCCCTCCAGTCCAAGGATCCCATCCCTCCACCGAGAATGGTGTGCGTTTGGCTAGTAACAACAGTACGTGACCTTTGCAGGAATGTTGGAAGCACTACTGAGATGCTTCACGTGATGCATTCTGAACCTCTGAAATGTGCTAGTCTGCACATTGAGAGGAATGTTTAGTACTTATTTTCTTTAGTTATGTGTCTTGTCACGATTGCTTTTCTGTCAAGACAGGTTGGCACAGACCTTTGGCCCCCACTTTCTTCCTTCTAAGAGTGTTCCCGTAGGGGGCGTCCTCAGAGCACAGGAAAGAAGATCGCCAGAAGAGTCCCTCCCTGTTCCCCCCTCCCACGGATGACTCCTACCTGAGTTCTGGGTTGTCAGCCTCGATCGTGACTGTGTGCTGGACACTGTATGGGTTCTTCAGGGCAAACTCGAAAAACTCTGTGGTGCCAAACATGGCGTAGAGGGTGTGATGGGTGGTGATAGCTTGGCTCAGCATGCTGCCAATGCTCTCTGCCTTGATGCGCTCCCGGTAGGCCTCGATGATCTGGAGGTCCCGCGAATGCTGAATGCGGTCCTCATGCCGTCCCTGTGGGTGACAGATGTGAACGTTGTGAATTGGCATGGGGGGGGGCTTCCTCAGCCTCCTTTGAGCGGGGCAAGACTAGTGATCTTTCCTGCTAGGCCTTCTGTTTACCCACCTGGAACAGGAGATTACCAGCCTCCAGCTCCAACCTTCCACACCCAAGCAATTGAGGAGTGGGAGGAAAAAAAATACCCTCCATTTAGTGGCAGTCTAGGAATTTCCCCTAGTCTATCTGGTAAAGCCCACAGAGACTAGGGGAAGCGGCCCAGAGTGTCACCCAAAAGTGACATCATATCCTTCCTAAATGTTGCCCTCCTTAGACAATGCTTCCAACATCTCCCAGCATTTGCCAAGGTATTGTTGGACTTGCTGCACACGAAAACAGTCCTTTACCGGGGCAAAAACCATGACAAGGCAGTGAGAGTCTCCCCTCCATACACACACACACACACACTGTGCTGTGCCCATGATACACTGAACAGGCCACAAAGCCTGCAGGTTATCATCCTAGCAGACAGAAAAAGAGAGGCTGCACTAAGGAAGCCAGAAAGTTCCTTCCTTTGGAAGGTGCTCTGTCTAAACAACAAACAACAAAATCCCTCAGCTGTCTAGCGGGATAAGTCAAAGGAATTCCTACCTTGGAGTAAGGTAAATTGAGTACAAGCCATGAAAGAGGCTCTAATAAGCAAGCAAGGATGCACTGCGGTGTATGAGAGAGGGGGAGGGAGAAGTCACCTCTCAGATTTTGATTCCTTCATTCAGGAACAAAAGATCTCACATAAAATTACCAGGATCCATGGGAAGCTGTCATCTTTACTACCATAACCTCTCTATGGAGATTCATGGAGGAGAAGTGTCCATCAATGGCTACTTGCCACGGTGACTAAAGGGAGCCTCCACATCCAGAGGCAGTAAACCTCTGAATATCAATGCTGAGAGGCAGCATCAGAATAAGGCCTTGGACTCTATGCCATGTTTCTGCTGGGTGGCCTCCAGGGCAACTGGGAGGCCACTATATGAAATGGAATGCTGGGTTAGATGGACCACTGATCTGATCCAGCAGCGATATTCTTATATTTTCTACACATGTAGCATCTTTAGATCGAGGGAAAAAATGATTTCTATGGAAAAGGTCTGTGGCTCAGCCCTTTCCCTTTACAAAACAATCCCAGATATCAGGGCTGGAAAGGGCCCCTTGCCAGATACGTTGGAGAGCCACTGCCCAGTTACAGGAGAGAATACCAGGCAAGAGAAGCCAAGACTCAGAATATGGTAATCTCCAACGTTTCACAGTGCAGAATTGTCACTCACCATAGTGAAGCTGGCTTTCTTCCTGCAGTCTCCTTCTTGAGATTCCCGCCTCCGCACGGACAGCATCCGCTCGAGCTTCCTCCTCCGGGTGACGCTGGCCTCACGGTGGGCGTGCTGGAAGGCCGTGCTGACTTCGCGCAAGCGGGAGAACAGCATGGCCGCCAGTTCGCTGTCCACGTCGGCCAGCTTCTGTGCCTGGCACACATTTCCGGCTGGGAGAGAAAACATGCCAAAATAATGCCATGGTGAAAACAAGCAGATGCCATGGCAAAGATCAACTCATCCTCAGTCTTTGTCTTGTTGGGGTAGAAAGGGTCCTTTTACAGAGGACATCTCCCTTCTGTGGTGGGCTTAGAGGTAAAGTCTCTCTTGGACTCCATGAGGGCTAACCGCTTGCACACATCCATGGTATGTAGGTTGATCAGCTCACCTGCATCGTCCCAGGACAGGAGGCAACAGGAGATGCCCTATCTCTGACAGACAAGCCTCACATCTAGGATGGCTGCTTTGCATGCTGACGGGAGAAAAATGGGGGAGGGTTCTTTGCTTCTGGGGCAAAACCAGAAGTGATGTCATTGTGTTGGCCCAGCTTGATGACAACACTTCCAGGGCAAATCCTCTGGCACTGGTGTGATGCCACCACGACTGTCCCCACCTCTGACCTTTTCCCATCAGGATGCCAGCCATAGCTGGCAACACTACCAGTCATGCCCGCATCCTTCTTTCATTCTAACTCTGGTCTAGTTTATTTGGAGGACTGGACACTAAGGAGGTTTCTCCCCATTTACAAAGGGATCAGCCCTTTGTGTCACTGGATTGTGGGGATTTTGTTCTCCCATTGAATCATTCTAACAAGCCAGTCTCTGCCTCCGGAGAGCTGTTTGGACCAGTTAATCCCACCTCAATCTCTCCTCTTCTTCAGCCCACAGATCTCAGGGAGGCAGACAGAACAGAGGATTTCCAGGTAGAGACCACACTGTTGTCTGGCTCAAAGATATCACCTCCAATGCATCCTAGTTAGCATCAAAAGGGGAAGGAAGAAAGAGGTATACAGAGCAGCCTCTGGAAGGCAGATGCATCAGGAACTGGGGGCAGCGGGGGCGGGGGGGGCAAGGTGCACCTGATCTATCTTGCACATCACTCGGGAAATGCTGGAAAAACCAGTTCTTACCTGTTAACAACAAATGAATGGTATCCCCTATTTCCTTAATATGAAAAAAATAGCCCTTCTCTTCTGGGCAATAAAGGTTTTTTAATGATCTATCTTGCACATCAGTCGGGAAATGCTGGAAAAACCAGTTCTTACCTGTTAACAACAAATGAATGGTATCCCCTATTTCCTTAATATGAAAAAAATAGCCCTTCTCTTCTGGGCAATAAAGGTTTTTAAAAAACACAATAAAGACCACAGCTACCTCTGCCCTTCCAAATTCCACTAGGTCCCAAACGAAAAGGCTCTGGGTTTAGTTTTCTTAAACCACACTAGTGAATTAGCTACATGTTATTCTGCTGAACTGGGTGAGTATTAAATGATTAATTTGCTTAGTTATCTATCTGGAATTATTTCATTTGAGGACCAGTTCTTTTTTTTCACACATCAGTTAGCTACACTCGGTATTTTTTTCCTCGCTTGAAGTGTTCTTTTCTTCTCTCTGGGAAAGAAAAGAACTTTGCAAAAATAAAATAACATGCGGAGAGAGAAGACAGGGCTGCACTTACCTGTAGCCATTGTTCATCGAGCGGTCTTCTGTGCAGGTACACATGGGGACTGTGCTTTCGCAGGCCAATCGCAGAGAGGAGCTAGAAAGCCTTACAGAGAAGTTTCTAGAGCCCACGAGTGCTCTCCCTCCCCTCCAACTTCAGCGTAGCCTTTTCCAGCCAAAGGGTCACGTGACCGAGGAGGGCGAGCACTCGTCCCTCAGTTCTCCCTTTGCCATCGTAAGGAGTGAACATAAGTACAGAAGCCCACAGTGGGGAAAGGAGAGAGGGATGTGTGCCTGCACAGGTAAGTGTAATCCTGTTTTCATCTTCATGGCTTCTGTGCAGTCCCACATGGGAGAATAGCAAGTTCACTGACGGAGGAAGAGGGTGTGGGCTGGATCAGCAGAAGACTGATTGTAATCCCATTGCCCCTGGTGAGTACACCTTTCGGCCTAAGAAGTCAAGTCTGCAGTCTTCCTTGTCCATTGGTGCAGAGTGGCACTCGACCGTCCTGTAACTGGAAGGACCTTGGAGACGAGGGAGGTGGCTCTTGGGTGATGAAAGAGGTATGTACAACCTTCTCCTTTCACCTTGTACAAATTTTCAAGTTTCCTTGATGAAGCTGCATTGGAGGCTGGTTTGGACCAAGTATTCATAGTAATATCTTGTATGCCTTGCAGTAATGGTAGAGACACAGGCCCAGTTTCTGGGTTTCATAGGACTTTCATTATTGGGTCTGAAGACTGGGGCTCTGTAGAAAGGTATTCTACATTTAGGCCTTTAGCCATACGAACGATTTGCTCAGCATGAAGTTTTAAGTCTTCTGTGGGTGATGGAACTGACGGCTCGCCCACCGTGTCGTCTGGTAAAGGCACTGATGCATCTTCTGATTCGGGTTCTGAGCACCAATCGATGCCCTCTTCTGAGTCAGAAAAATGAGATGCTGTGTCGATGATGGAGCGGTGGTTGGCAGTAAAATGTTTCTTGCTACTGGACTTGGAAGACCGAGATGGTGGCTACCGTGGAGGAAATTGCTGCTGGTCCCATGAGCCCCACCGTGTGGGGGACATCACTGGAAAAAGGAACCAGGGCGTATTTTGTAGTGGCCCCTGATTTGACGTTCCCTTCTCTTGTCATCCACGTTGCACTGAAGGTTGCGCTGGTGGGATTTCAAAGACTCCCTGGTCTGAAAGTTTCAGTGATTGGTGATGTCGCCCCAAAGGCGACGGAGTTCTCAGCCTCAGGGAGAGGTCGATATCAATCATATCGGTGATGATCAACATCGAGGTGACATCGAAGCATGATTGGTCAGATGAGGCAGCATTCCGAGACTGCTCTTGGGAGCGATGGCAACCTGGTGACTCATGTTGACCCTGAGGTGAAAGTGACGTTCAACATCAGGGCAAGGGGGATTGTTGGTGCCATGGTGACAATTGGTGTGGAGGCAATAGTGAATGGCAGAGCAAGACACGATGCGCACATTTTGCCTTTTTCTTTGATTTTTTTTTGTCAGCGGCTCCAAGGCTATTTGCATAACGATCGATTTCTCGGGCGGCTGTGGCATCAAGGAGGTCAGTACCAAGCTTACCAATGGGGTGCTTGATCTTTTTTCTATGCCCGGGCATTTGGTCCTGGGGCTCCCAAAGCTTTTCCCCACAAAGGCACTTTTAAGTCTAGCCGCCCTTCCTTCTCTAGCCTTCGGCATGAGGTGGTGGCAGGCCAGGCATGAGGTAGTATTGTGACCTTGGCCCAGACATAGCAAGCACAATTTGTGCTCATCATTTTATGCATTTTGGCTCCACATTCCTCACATCCTACCATTTTTTATGAAGATGAAGAAATGCAGTCAGAAGCACCGAGGGATGTTGTTCACAGTAGCTTGCTCTGGTATGTCCTCTCTTTATGGCAGCAAGAAGAGAACTGAGGGAAGAGTGCTCACCCCTCCTCAGTCCTTTGGGTGGGAAAAGCTACGCTGAAGATGGAGGGTGTTGGATGTTAATATCCAGCAGTCAGATCATGATGATCTATGTGACAGCAGGCAAGCTGCTGATAGCAAGTTCTGACCGGTTTAGACCAGCTATGGTGTGAGGTCAGTGACAATGACTCAGCAAGGTGCTGATTGGTCAATCAATGTATATATGTGGACAAGTACTGCTCTGTACACTTCTCTCTTTTGGATATGGTGTTTGGCGGAGCAGTTTGTCAGTGGATTGTATATATTGTAAATAAATCTGTACATAGTTTACCACAGGACTGTCTTGGTGTGGTGCTGTACAGAACCTACTTTGCAGTGAGTGCTGGAGTGCTGGTGTGGCTGGTAAAGTCCTGGTGGCTGGTGTTGCTGGAAAGCTTCCTTACACGCACTGCGCAACAGAGGGGAGGGGGAGCACTCTTGGGATGTAGACATTTCTCTATAGAAGAGGAAGATAAGGGTTTGGATTTATACCGTGCCCTTCACTATCTGAAGGAGTCTTAGAGCAGCTTACAATCCCTTTCCCTTCTTCTCCCCACAACAGACAGCCTGTGAGGTAGGTGGGGCTGAGAGAGCTCTTTCGAGAATTGCCCTTGAGAGAATAGCTCTGAAAGAACTTATGACTGACCCAAGGTCACACCAGCAGCTGCATGTGGAGCCAGGGAGGTGGCTCTTGGGTGATGAAAGAGGTATGTACAACCTTCTCCTTTCACCTTGTACAAATTTTCAAGTTTCCTTGATGAAGCTGCATTGGAGGCTGGTTTGGACCAAGTATTCATAGTAATATCTTGTATGCCTTGCAGTAATGGTAGAGACACAGGCCCAGTTTCTGGGTTTCATAGGACTTTCATTATTGGGTCTGAAGACTGGGGCTCTGTAGAAAGGTATTCTAGATTTAGGCCTTTAGCCATACGAACGATTTGCTCAGCATGAAGTTTTAAGTCTTCTGTGGGTGATGGAACTGACGGCTCGCCCACCGTGTCGTCTGGTAAAGGCACTGATGCATCTTCTGATTCGGGTTCTGAGCACCAATCGATGCCCTCTTCTGAGTCAGAAAAATGAGATGCTGTGTCGATGATGGAGCGGTGGTTGGCAGTAAAATGTTTCTTGCTACTGGACTTGGAAGACCGAGATGGTGGCTACCGTGGAGGAAATTGCTGCTGGTCCCATGAGCCCCACCGTGTGGGGAACATCACTGGAAAAAGGAACCAGGGTGTATTTTGTAGTGGCCCCTGATTTGAGGTTCCCTTCTCTTGTCATCCGTGTTGCACTGGAGGTTGCGCTGGTGGGATTTCAAAGACTCCCTGGTCTGAAAGTTTCAGTGATTGGTGGTGTCGCCCCAAAGGCGACGGAGTTCTCAGCCTCGGGGAGAGGTCAATATCGATCGTATCGGTGATGATCGACATCGAGGTGACATCGAAGCATGATTGGTCAGATGATGCAGCATTCCGAGACTGCTCTTGGGAGCGATGGCAACCTGGTGACTCATGTTGACCCTGAGGTGAAAGTGACGTTCAACATCAGGGCAAGGGGGATTGT